GTGGATTATTAGATGACATGTCATCGTGTTCGCGTTAGTTAACAGCACACGTCACTAGATTTTTAACGGAAGGACCAAATCGGGGTAAAAATGGTAAACAGTAGGGACCAAATCAAGGTTTTTTTAGTTCAGGGACCAAATCGGGGGTCCGTACAATAGTTCAGGAACCAAAAAGGGGTTTTAACCATAAATATTTTCTTCCTCGAGAGCTTTTTCAGGTTTGTCTTCCGTTCACAGTGTATTTGGGCCGCGCAAAATACTCAGGTCTACTGGAGCAGGCCTCCTAACTATTTTGTTTGTAGGCATTGGAGTAACACTTCTTGGGATGTTGGCATGGGAAGCATCTTGTGTGGACTGGCTTTCATGGTACAGCTAAAGAAATGCACATGTTGCATCTCGCATCTTTGTGGTTTCAACATTAGAAGTACTTGGAATTGAAAGCCAGCAAAAAAATGTTTGCTTTTTTAGGGGAAATGAAACCTAACTCTTCATCTTCCACCCATACACACTAGGAACAAGAATGATATGCTTTTTTGCCCTCTTCAAAGTAAACTTAATATAAATCTATTTTATTATTTAATGTAATTATTTAATTATTAATATAATATAATTTGATGCACTTGACCCGTGTGGCCCAGTGACTAGAGCTACTGAAAAGTGCACATTCCCCTTCTCTAAACGGGTTTCGAACCCGTCCATGACAAACTGTTCAAAAAAAAAAAATAATATAATTTGATATAATTCGAACGGCTCACCATTTTTCATCAACTTAAACAAAATTTTCACAAAATATTTTTTTTATTCAATTAGTGGCCCAGAGCAATTTATACATTTGTCAACGTAGGCTGGAGCCACGTGTCATTCTAGAACCGCCACTTACCATCCAACTCGTAGCCACAAACGAAGCCCAAGCAGCCCAGTCCATGCATATCTCCCGCGTACATTAGCATTCCGAAACCACTCCGGTATTAACTTACGCCCCTCTCCCTTGACACTACCAGACAAACCCACCTTCTCTGACCTCTCGTCACCACTTCCTTCTTCTTGGTTCCTTCCCGCCGCACACAGACGAAAGCATTCTTCCTTTTTCCACACTCAACAAACAGCAGAAACTCTGCAATTCGATGTTAACTGTGAAAATTTCATTGCTTTAATCTTGAATGCGGAAAACAGGAATTCTTAGTAAATGGGTTCTGTCCAGATTTTGAATCCCGCTGTGTCTCTGGTTTCTGTCTCACAGTCCAGGAAGAAAATTCTCAGGTTTGGAAGTAATGGGTGCACGAGGTATTTCCCAAGCAAACGGTTCAAAATATGTTGTGCAGTTGGGGAAGACAATGAGCAAAATAAAGGTGAGTTTTTTTAACGTTTTGGGTTGCTGATTTCTAGAGTTATGTTCACAAATTCGATAATCTTGGGGAAATTCAGTTAATGGGTTGAAGTTGTTTTCGTTGTTAATTTACTGCTGTGTTTAGGAGAAGAACCTCCGGAATCATTGTTTATGCAGGAACTGAGGAAAAGGGGCATGACGCCTGCTTCCTTGCTTGAGGATGCTAAAAGGGGCAACTATGGATTGGATGAAGAGATGAAAGTGGGAGAAGAAGGTGGGAGTTTCTCGAAGAGAAATGCTGTGTCGACTGACTATGAGAGGAACTTGTCTAATCAAAGGGAGCAGTCCATGCAATTGAACAGTGAAGGCCTTGAGGTTGATGGAATTGTTGTTTGTTTATTTAATGCTTTAGGTGGATGTCATTTCATAAAGATTAAAATATTTGAGAAACATATTGGTGCACTAGAGTTACGAAGTATTGATGTTTGTTTCTTAATTGGGATTTGAGCTATTGGTTATCCTCTAATAGAAAATGATTCACTCACAATTTTATCTTAAAATAAAGTTCGCAATCCTAAGTGACAATAATTTTGATGGACTCTTCTTATTTGTTGGAATATGTAAATTGGTATGCGTCCACTTGTTTTGCTACATGGATATTGCTGGACTTTAGTGTGAGATGGTGGGTGTTTCGACCTCCCTGCATATATGGAAAAGCTATGAAGTGATGCATTCAAGAAAATATTGACATTGTGAATTAGTGAGCACAATGATTATGAGCAGATTCAAATTGAATATTTTTTAGTATAACTGAATGTTTTTTAGTGAAATTTAATCCTTTAGTGCTAAAAGTAGTGCCTTTGCATTTTCTTCCTGTATGCGTTCTTGTGAGCAGACACAAATGAGGAAATGAAATATTTTTATTTGTTTCAGGGGTTGATTCCTAGGGCTAAACTCTTGCTATCACTTGGAGGAACATTCTTCTTGGCATTTTGGCCTTTGATCCTCCTAACTGTAGCATTCTTCTCTGCTACCTACCTTGTAAGTCCTCTTTCTTTAGCTGTCCAATTAATTTTTCTCTTCTTTCCAGATTACTTTATCAGGATATAAGGTCAAAGAGTTTTTATGTTGTAAATCTTTTGATTTCTAAAGCCTTAGATTGCATCTTTGGTGTTTGAAACATTTATTTGGCCAGTAGCTAGGGAGCTCAACCTCTGGCGTTCTCTATATTATGAGAACAGAAAATTCAGTTTTAAAATGGTTGTTGCAAAATTGCAAACGAGTGTGCTATATCGGGTTTAACATATGTTTCTCTTGCTACCATTCTTCTGAATTGGACTCCTATAGTCATGGTCTGCAACTCTGTTTATTTACAAAACGAGGAAAAGAAGCAAATTTTGCCAGATTTATCTTCTAAATTTTACATAACTAGTCTTGCAAAGAAAAATGTTAGATACACAAAAGAAGTACTTAATGCATTAGATTTTCAGTTTAAACTTGCATTGTCAATTCAGATCGAAGGGTCATGTTGTTTATTGATATGGATTCTTGCAATCATTTTCATCGTAGTTAATGAAGGCTAAAACATCATGCTTATAAGAGTTTTTCACATGTAAACTGTACTTTATTTTTAGTTGGATGCATGCTATTTAGGGCCTTTTTGGCATGCGGTTCCTGGAGAACTGCTGCCTTAGAAGCTACTGTTCCTGGAAACTGCTTTACTTTAAACCAAACTATCTTTTGTACATCAAGCAGAAATCTCATGGGGAGCTGCTGCCCCTAAAGCTGCTGCACTTTAGTCGACCAAACCATCCTTTGTACATCCAACAGCAGTTTTGCACGGGCCCTTAAGATTTCTACCCAGGGATTCAAAAAATTCTTCCACAATGAAAGTTTCACTGATAGATATACACAATATGATTAAAGTCAGCTTGGAACAAAACATTTAACACCTGACTGCAACTCTTCAAGTGTGAACTTGAGCAATCACTTCATAGAAACCTTCTTGATTGTTCTTCTAAGAACTGTTGAATTTTGCTTGCAGCTTGCTGTTTTTATCTTTAATTCCCTATGCTAAACTCCTTGTCTTGTGTCATATTTGGTGTGCATTTCGTTTTGCCTAAATATCTCAATGGAGGCAATAGTCACTAATGATTTTTCTCCTTCCACAGTATTTTGGATCATCTTTCATCCATGACGGAAACAACATGCCTTCAACGCCACCACAATATGTTGACCCATATGCACTTCTAGAAGATGAAAGGATATCTCCAACAGCACCACGTGTAGACTGAACATAAATATATATATATATATATATTTGTTTTTTTTCCTTTTAACAAACATGGAATTCTTGAAAGCTTCAATATTTATAGGCTTCTGTATCATATTTCCTTTGGTCCTGTAATATTCCCTTTTTCTGTTTGGATCCTCAATTAGCTGGACTTCTTTCATCAATCAAATGTCTACTTTTAAAGTACTTCTGACACTCAATACTAGTGTGTCGTGGCCTAATGGTTCATACTAAAGTCATGTGCGCGAGTCAGGTCGTTTGTTGCCCCTTTCTCCTAAATTTTCCACATCCTCGTTAAAAATAAAAAAAGGCATCCTCAAAGATGAACATAAAATGAGCTTAGAATTGTTCCTTACTATTTTTTCTCCTCTTAATTTGGTGATGATCCATTTCTCTGGCCATCTTAACTTCATCTCCACTCTTCTGTCGACTATTTATTTGCTTTTTCTTTTCTTCTTTTTTGTTTAAAAAAAAATATTTATATTGGCACAACCATTTCCACGCCACTTTGCTGCATCTACCAAGTCTCAAACTGTACTACAGATCCTATTTTCCTGACACATGTGGGGATTGACCAATTTCTAATAGTACAATGTCAAAGAGTGATCTTTAGCCCTGTAATTTGCGTGGATGCTACAAACCCTGCTCAGAAATAGCATTTCCCGAGTTTTTCGACAATTTTGCCGGAGAAAGGATTATAAGAAATGTGAAGATTTACCCTATTATCTTTAATTTTTATCTTCAACAAGTAAATTACTAAATGTATAATGTAAATACATAGGATAATGATATTTAAATAACTTATTTGTATAATATTTATATATTAAATGTTGTAACTATATATAATATGATAGGTTAAAATCAATAAAAAAATTAATCATTAAATGACAGATAAAATTATATATAAAAATTAACCTTAAATCACTTTCTTAATAATATAATGTTAGATTCGAATCCACACTAATGCACAGATAAGAGAGTTAACATATTCTTGACTTTTTCCCGTGAGGCCATAATAGTGATGCACTAAGAATAGAAAAACTTCCCTTTTTTAGAGATTATTACTTAAAATTGCCAAAAAAACGTAAATGTTAATGCCAGTGGGTTTATCACTGCCTTAAGGATTTCATGTTTACAAGAAACACAGAGAAAAAAGGCTAAAAAAGAGCATCAAGGTCAGGCGAATTTCTGGGTCTTGTACTTACAAACATAATCACTTCTGTTTTTTTGCAAAGAAAAATGAGAAAGAAAATTCCAGAAGGAAAATACTAAACGGTCTTCTGTTTTTGACAATTTCCTGATAGAGACTCCGCATAAACTAGCAATTCCATGGATGATTTTGGTGATGACGATGGTGGCCAGAATCGAACCGGTAATGATCATTTTTTTTCTTTTAATTTCGATTTATAAGAATCTCAACCTGTCTTTTAGATGCATGCAAAAACAAAGAATATTAATATATTGACAGTTTTTTTTTTTTTTTTTGGGATATATTTTTTTTAATTGTTAAAATTCTGCTTCCATGGTTTGGCAGGAACATGGATGACTGCTAGTGCACATATCATAACAGCAGTTATAGGGTCAGGAGTTTTATCTCTTGCTTGGGCCATTGCTCAGTTGGGATGGATTGCTGGCACCGTTACTCTTATCCTCTTCTCCATCATCACTTGGTTCACCGCTATCCTGCTTACCGATTGTTGCCGGGACCCTGTTACTGGAAAAAGACAAAGTTCTTACATAGAATCTGTAAAATCCAACTTAGGTGAGAAATGTTTTGTTGATTATTGGCAAAACCACATATTAAGCCCCTAAATTAAGCCTAGATTTGCTATTGTACCTCTAAACTTTAATGGATGCATATAAACCCCTGAACTTCACAATCTGAGCAATTTAGCCCTTATTGTTATAGCAATTTAGCCTTTATTCTTATAGCAATTTAGCTCATATTTTTACAGTAGTTAAAGAATTAAGGGCTAAATTGTTAAGATTGTAGAGTCTAGAAGATTATATGGATCAATTAAAGTTTAAGGGCTCAAGAAATAATCCAAAGTTAGTTCAAGGGCTTAACATATGGTTTTGCCTTGATTATTTACCTTGGCTTTTAGGATTCCGACCTGAATTTTAACTGTGAAGATAATGTTTCAATCAAATTTGGATGTGTGTTATCTTTGTATAAATTATTTTTTTGAAATTTTATATAGAAAATTCAAATTTTAATATGAGTTGGTACTTGTAATTCAATGGTTCATATTTCAAACCTAAAAG